AGAAATTAAGAAAATAAATTCCAGGCAAGTAGGGTGGCGTAGGAGTGTAGGAATGTACCTGAGTTCAAAGACCTTCAGTTCAATTTGTATTACCTACAAGAACAAAAGAGTAAATTCCAGTGGTGGCATGAAAGAAACACAGGTTCATTATTCATTCAAATGTCTTGTAACCCTCAGTCATAAGGTAGATGTGCCTGGCAAGTAAAAGTGTTAACAGGATTAAGAGCTTTATCAAGATTTTTAAATCCACATTCGAAAGAAGTTTTAAAGTGAAATAACTGCAAAACCCCCTCAACAAAATACCAAAGATAATAGAGGTAACAGATGAGATTCAGACAGAATGAGACCGTAAGAGGGGAAAAAGGAAGGAGGAGAAAATGGAAGAAACAAAGGTGATAAACAAGGAAGGGAGAGAGGGAGCGAGGAAGGGAAAGCAGAGGGAGAGAGGTAGAAAAGGTTCTTAAGATAAATGCAAGCTAAGTCGAAGTTAACCCCAGCTAAAGAAAAAAAACGTGTTCGCTACACACGCGATGTCTGAATCAGCTCGGTGCTATTTCAGCTAAACCCTTTAACTTTGTGAGTGAAGACACTGATGAGGTTCTTGTAATTTCACATGATCTTAAAATCCTGCAGACTCTGTCTATAAATATGAGGCTGTGTCAGCCCAGCAGCCATCCCTAGAACATCACAGTACCCCAGGGGGTGTTACCAGCTCCCGGGGGACAGGGGACACACTGGCAGGTCTGGAGCACGGGACCTCTCCTTTCAGTGTGAGCCACGGTGTGAGCCCAGTGCAGGCCCTCTTCCTCTCCTGATGAGTGTGCAACCTGGACTGGACCAGCCCTTCAATCTCGGCCGGGCTTCTTTCTGCTGAAGCAGAATCCTGGTTGTGTGGCAGGGAGGGTGTGATTTTACGATTTCACTTGGCTGCCTGAGGTCTCTGGGCTCTGAGCACGGTGCTACCCTCTTGGGGTGGGCACAGTGACAGATACTGCGTGTTTAGCGCACTAGGAAAAGGGAGGAACCCAAGGGAGCCACCGCCTGAAGACAGATTGCAGCAGAAGCCTCCAGCTGTAATGCAGGGAGTTGCCTCATGGGAAGTAATCCAGCAGTCTCACCGGCCGGCAAAGCCATCTGAGGATGACTTAGGACAGATCAACTCGCTTCACAGGAGATTAAACTCGCTGGCCCAACATGCACCCTTGGTACCCGGTCCCAGCTGAGGACACCCTCAGGTGCCTGGGAGCTGTCATGGCCACAGGTGTACCCACTCTATGTCCCTCCCATCTGCTCTTCCTTGAGAACCCCATGAGCACCTCAGAAAGAGAGTCATGCACTTCTCAGGACTCGGCTGCAGACTGCACCTCGCTGTCTTTAAAATCCTCAATTTCTGTGAAATTGTCATTTTTTCCTGTGCGGTAGACACAGGCACAGTGCTTCCCTGCACAGTGGGTGTTTGCTTCCCAAACTGATGGGGATTGGAACAATGGAGCGGAAGCGGAACTTTTTAGATCATTAATTTTGAGGTCACGCAATTACAGCACACCCTATTTAGTTTTAATGTTTTCAAGTACTTCTGTCAGGAAATATAGACAGACTACGCTTAAGTAAGCCTGAAGCTCACCAAGTCTCTCTGTCAAGACAGCAAGAAGCCCAGATTCCAGCATTTCTCAGGGTTTGGCTCGGCTGCAGTGTTAGATCCCTAGTCTTTTCTCTGTTGCCCCAATCTAAACACACATGCATGTTTCATAGTTTTGGCTTGTTATGAACTTCTTTGAATTTTGTAAAACTATACTTTCTGGTATTTAGTGCATTTTCATTCAATGGTTTTTTTCATTCACATCAGGTTTTTTGAGGAGATCAGGATTATTAAAAAAAAAAAAAAAAAAACTCCTAGCTAGTGATCATACTTTTCTATATGGTAGCACATTTTTTATTTTGAAATCTACAAAAAAATTGATTCACCAAAGTTCCTTTGGCAAAGAACATGAGGGGGAATAAACCTGGCTGTGTCAAGTGGCTTGATTAGAGATTTTTAAAACTCATAGTTGGATTCAGAAGTGAAATGCTATCTACCAAACCATTCTGATGTCTTGGTGCTGGTGTAGGGAGAGAATATTTCCGATGGATGTTTGTGTTTATTTATTCATTGACTATTTCTTGACCACAGCCCTGAGGTGAAAAGCAGACCTATAACCAACCGTGAGAGGCAAACTAAAGAACTAGCTGAAATCCTCGCGTGTCTCTGAATTATGCAAGGTCCTGCCTCTCTATTAAATCTGAATAGCATTGGATGCATTAAAAATTTTGTAGTAATGTGGATTTTTCTCAACTGATGTTTTGGTGTTGGGGATATATTTCAAAAAAGAAATTAGAAAGTGCATGGGTTGTTTCTAGTTTCTGAAAAAGAACCATTAAAGCAGTTGGACTTTGAGCACCACCTTACCAGAAACTCTCCATTCTCACATTGGGGGGCATTTTTGCTATTTTAATTAGGGGCCGCCTAGTAAAAGGGTGAAGTCCCATTCTTCATGTTAACTTGATTTTCAGAAAGTCACGAAAGCCAACTATCTCTACACTGCACTTACATATGAGGTTAAGAATCCAAGAATGAATCAGGCACCAGATGTTTTCTTCTGATAATGTCAAGCATGTATGTTCATTTAAATTAGTCATCTGAGTCCACACTAATTTCAGCATTAGATGGAATCCTGTTTTGCTGAGATGCACGATCCACTTAGGTTTGTTCCATGATGTGTCCCTGGATTTGGCTTTCTTTTTATATTTATTCTAAACTATTTGTTTGCATTTAAAATAGTGAAAATTTGGATTTAGGCCTTCTAAATGAGATTTCTGTTCAAGGAGATAGAGAAACGCTAAACAAAACAAAAGCTTCCCTTAATAACTTCCTGGCATCCTTTCTTTCTTCTGATTATGCTGCTTTACCGTCTATGTATGTTTCTCAAATTTCTCAAAAGGAGATTAAAGCTAGAAATAGAATCAGGTACAAACTACCCTGGATGAAAGAAAAGCTAGAAAACTTTTGAAATGTAAATACTAAGATATTCTTTCTATAATAGTTACTCCCATGCATTTATGAGTTTGCTCATGGATAACACTGCTTAATTGAGTAAAGATAAAGTGACTAAATTAATGTTTATTAAAGGTTGTCTTTGAAAATAGTATACTGAGATTGTTTAGTTGATGAAATTAATGTTTTCCATTCAATACAGTACTACATAATGTTAACAGTGTACCTGGCTTGTTTATACGATGCCAACCAAAAAACATAACAGATTTCCTTGTTTATAGTCAGTTTACTAATCTATTATATGGCTGATTATGTAGTTTAATTTACTCTATACATGTTTATAATTTTATATGCAGTGATATTATCTTTATATTTTTTAAAGTATTCTTTTAAAATGTGTGTCCTTTAATACTAAATATACCACCTGAGATTTCTACATACGCTTTTGAAGAAATAATGAACAGATGTCATAACTGCTCTTTCCATGACTCTAGTCCTGTGTATAATTAGTGGTTAGTTCACTGGTGACTAAATACACCTTTGCTAAGCACGTGTTCCCAACTTGGAAACACAAACGGAAGGTGGGAAAACTGAATCCCTCACAGGACTTGGTCCTGCCTCTCCATACGGGCCTGTTCTCAGTGGCTTCCCAAAAAGCGCCCACATTTTTCCTGTTCTCTTGGCTATGAGTCAAAATTTGCCCCGATTAGGAATCTCCGAGTTCTTACATATTTCTTTAAGAAATGCATTGCTATTTTAGATCATGAAATGGTTATTAGTTCTTCCTTCAGTGGTGTGAACCATTTGGTGACCAAGAGACGTCTAAGTACTCATGGAGGAAAGGGATTCTCAGTAGTTCTGTGGTCCAGACTCAGCAGACATCTGGACTTAGCAGAGAGATATTCACTGTCAGGGACTAAGCTCAGACACCGGCTTGCAGAAGCCCTGAAGAAAAATGGGGTGGGCTAAGGGGTGGGCTAGGAGGAACCCCATCACAAGAGGAAGAAAGGTGTGTCCGGGTGCTCCCAGATCCATCCCAGGAGAAGGCGCTGCCGGCCCCACTGCCATGGGTGGCAGTGACTCACACCACTGCAGGGTCCACGGGGCTCACCATAAGGTCCAGGTGACTGAAGCTCGTGCTCCCTGGAAGAAGACAGAACTCAACAATTTAAAAAATCTGCTAGAAAACTTCTCTTCCACAAAATAGGGGGCAGAGCTGCCTTCTCTCCCTTCTTTTCCAGGGACATTTCCTCAGAAATCCAGAACCCTGCCAGCTTGAGGACTGCACCCCCAATTCCTAACTGGAGTCAATCTTATGTTTCAAATTAGGCACATGGGAATATGGATTCATAATCCAAAACTCAAACTTAAAAATGTTTGAAATAAGAATCAAGCATTATGGAATGCCTAAGAGAAACAAGCCTCTGTAATTTGAAAAATCTCCAACGGGTGTTGGAGGGAGAGTCCCACACAGATAAGCACAAAATTGTCATTTCTGGAAATTACTTCGATTTGGTATCTTTACTTCTGAGGAAATCACACACACAGTGACTAGTTATTAATATGGAAACTAATTCAGCAGTTTCTCTTATTCTAGTTTAGCTACCAAAATATCCCTAATTTCTCCTCTCAGTGAAACAGTCCAAATTGTTAGTTGTTAGCCATGTCACATTGTAACACCAGACACAAAATCGTGATTGTAGTATAATTTGGTACTATTAACTCAGTCCGAGTAACTAAGTGGTTTCTCCCGGTAGTAATGGGGTCTTGCTTTAATGGCCAGTCAACAAGCGAAGTCACTTAGCACTCACCACTGGTTAAGGGAGCTAGAGGATGGCCGGGTGGAGAAGCAGCGAGGTCCTGGCAAAGCCTTCTCCTAAGCGTTGAGTGGGAACGTGTGTAAGGGTGCATGCGGACACCGGGCAAGCCTCTTAGTGACTGTGGTGTTGACTCTTCCCGCACCATGCAGCAAAGCCCAGCAACCCGCGGCCTGCAGACAGCTCGGCATCCACCGGCTCCTCGGGCAGCAGCTTTGGCAGCGGCTACAGCGTGGACAGCGAAGGCAGCGGCCCCGCCGGGGACACCAATCTGTTCCCGATGCCCAGAATGTAAGTGGGTCTGTCTGTTTCTGCAAGGTTAAGGGCTCCGGAGTAAGGTATTCTCAGCACTTCACAGGAAGCAAGTCAGTGGTTACACAGCTCTGGTCACCGGGTCTGTTTGTGCCTCCTTAGAAACACGCTACTTGGAAGTATTAGGGGTGAATCCAGTTAACCTGAAGGACAAAGGCTCCTCGCTCCCTGAGTTTCATCAGTGCAGTCTGTATTTAACTTGAGAACTGCTGAGCACTCAGGCACGCCAGACTAAAGCCCGGTGATGGTGCTCCAGTGTTTCGGTCACAGTGACCAAACCAAGCACTACTGTCTTTGGAAATAAAGATAGATTCACTTCCCTGAATCAGGAGAAACTGAGAGGCATCCCGAGGACCCATTCCATCTTTAAAACAGATGATTCACTGTGCTGGTCAAAGGGAAATTTCAACCATAGATTGCTCTATAATAAAAATAGAAGATTTTTAAGCATTTTCGTATGTTCTAGAATCAATACTAAGTAGTATGTAGGTCCCTGGGTGGGTACTCCTGATAGAAAGCCCTTTCAGGATAGGCTACAGCTCAAGAATATCATTTTGCAAATAAAAATCAAAGCTAAAACAGATTGTGTTAGGATATGTTAGAATAGTGGCGTCATATTGGTTGGAAAATGTGGCAGCATTGCAGAGAAATACGTGGATTACGTCTGCTCTGATATCTGAACTTCCAGATCTTTCCTGCTCCTGCCCATTAAGCGAGTCTTGTAGGTTGGAAACATCACCAGGATACCCACGTCCTAGACTCTAGGCCAGGGCAAAGGCAGCCTGCTGCCTGGCTCTGTAAGGCTTATGAGCTAAAAAGGGCCTTTTGTGTTAAAGTCTTTTTTTACACATGAAAACACAAAAGAATATTTTGTGATGCGCAGACGACATGACCCAGAAATTCACCAGCTGTAGATGAGCTGTGAGGGCACAGCGGTGCGGCTGGCTAGCGTGTGGCCGGGTGAAGAGAGCAGGCTGAGCGCTGTCACTGAGACAGAGACACCACTTGCTGTGACCCAGCTGGCCACCCCAGCCAGAGCTGGTGACGGGTCCTTCTGCTCCAGCTCCGAGTGAAAACTGCCCACGCGGTGGGAGCTCTCTTTGTATTAATAAAGTTTTCATAAATATTTAACATAAATGTTTACTAAAGTTTTTATAAATACTTCCTTTCGATTTCCAAAATACTATCAATAGCGAATTCAACTTACAAAAGTAAAAGAACAGAGAAAAATCCATTTTTACAGTATGTGTGCTGTAACTCTCAAGGAACATTTTTTCCAACTTAAATGAAGCAAATTATTATTTTATCAGCTGTGCCTCTGAGGATTTTTGTGTATTTTTTCTGAGACTGTGGGCTTTTTCTGAGACTTTGAACTGTGAACTTCAGTAGAATTTTCTCTATATTGTTGGATATAATCTTAAAACTAACCAGATCTCATTAGTTTTTGGCCTTTGATGATCCAGTGTGAGAGGATTCCAGAAAACCCATTCCATTTCTCTCTAAGCTGTGAATATGCCATGAGCTTATAAAGGCTTTGCAGATAAATTTATGTCCTTCCTATTTATTTGAATGTTTCAGAATATACAATTTACCACTGATGATAAATTTATAACTTCCATAGAGTTAATTATATTATTTCCTTAATATCTGAACATCTAAAGTGAAATTAAATAGTTTTTGCATACATACCATATAGCATTTTGGTTTTTCCCCTTTTTCTTATTTCTCTGGTAAATCAAAGCCTCTCTAAATTGACTACAAGATTTTTTTCTCTGCCAAAAGAGCAAAAAGAAAATGCACTCTATTAAAATATTGTATGATACATGTAAGAAATGGTATTTATGAATTTTTATATGTCCCAATGGTTATATCTAACATACTATTGCTGGCACTGGTATAGTTATTCAGTAAATGTTTGGTGCTTTATTAAACTATATGTTATAAAATGTGTAATCAAAATGTTCTCAGTTAAAGATTACAAAGAAGTCAGAAAAATTGCATGCTGTACCAGACCCTCGGTTTCATGTCCTTGGTACCCTGCTTAGCTACCCTGTGCTGAAAGATTTTTGTAAACTTCAAAGTAAGAGTTTTGGCTAAGTAGCTCAATTTCAATTCATTATCCATTAGAACCAAAGACTGTGGACAGAAATCGTTAAAATATGGAATCAAAGACTAAAGCAATTCTAAAAATCTCCAAAAATTTATTTTTATTACAATTACTAAAAATTAAAAGAGTTCTTTTTCAAACTTAACTACTTGAATTTCAATGAAGCAATTATGTAAATTGTAAGTTTGTGCGTTGATCACACAAGGAGGTATGTCCAGAAGCAAACCATATATGCATGCACACAAAATGTTAGAAATTTGGTAATTTGCATGAAATTAGCCCTTCCATAATCACTTAACTGAAATTTGTGCTTAAATCTTTGACCTTGAATTGTCCTAATGAAATGGTGCTATGATTTTCAAGTTAAAAATGATTTCTAAATTTACATCTGTCCCTCTTATTATGCGCAAGAATGTTTCAGTATTTCCTCTGAGGTAGAATGGTAAGGATATTTATAGAAGTTTTCAAATCAGGTATAATGGGACTTAAGAAATAAGCATAGTTACATTTTCAGCAGGTCTCCCAACCCAGGAGTTTTTGTGAAAATCCGAATTAATTGTCCGTGAATCTTGCTATGTTCGAATTATTGTTTAGAAAGAATAGCGTCAAGATGTTCTCTTGTTCTACCCTCCTTCTTAGCAGTTAGTAGTTTTTACTGCATTTTAAAGAATGTCTTATCTAAATACATAGACAGGAAATTCAAACCTTTGTGTGACGTGCCAGTTGATTTTCTCATAATCCCAAGGTAACTAATATCGCTATCCCTACGCTGTTACAGAGAAAAGTCTTATAAGTACTTAACCTTATAGGTACTTAGCCTTAGATGGCACACAGCTAGAAATAACAGAGCCAGGAGCCAGGAGCGGACCCTGGCGGTCTGACTGGAAAAGCTAGTGGGCTTCACACAGCTGAAAACAGGAAGAATTCCAAATCAGTCACTAAGTGCGGCTTACAAGTCTAGTTATTACAATAATTTGGGTAAATAAATAGTTTTCATTTTTAATTAACATAAAAGCATGGACACATATGGGCTACCATATGACATTTTGATACCCGCATACCTTGTCTAGCGTTCAGGCCCCAGAAAGTGTATCTGGCAAGCAAATCTCAAACAGTTTTCATTCTTTTGTAAAGACGGAACAGTCAGAATACTTTCTCCCTAGATCATTTGCGCCTATCTTTATGGATAGTCCATAGTCGCGCGCTGTACCTTACCACCTAACAATAACTGGGGCCCCCTGGCCAGCCGCCCCAGCTCTCTGCTGCTTCCCTCAGGCTGGCCCCCACCACTCCACTCTCTGTCTCTGTGAGATCACAGCAAGAGAGCATGCAGTGACTTCGCTTACGTTTACCTAATTCCATTCATGTGGTCACGAAAGGCACGATTTCACCCTTCTTATGCCTGACCCATAGGTACCCCGAAGTGGGTGTTGCCACGTCTTCTTTATCCACCTGTCAGCTGGTGGGCCCTAAGGTTCATGCGCCATTTCCTGACTATCGCGAATAGAGCCACAGTGAAGGTGACTTCAGCATGCTGATTTCAGTGACCTGCAGTGGGACCACCAGATCAGATGGTACTTCTGCTTCTAATCTTTCAGGAACCTCTGTCCCGTGTCCCACGATGGCCAGCGGGAATGGCTACATTCCCACCCGGCATGGACAGGGTTCTCTCTTCTCCACCATCCCTGACACTTGTCACACTGCTCTTACTGCAGTGAGGTGGCACTTGTGGTAGCTTTGATCTGCATTTCCCTGGTAACTGCCAACATGAACATTTTTGCATATATCTGTTGACCATTTATACCTCTTCTTTTGGGAAATGTCTTTTTGGGTTTCAATATTATTCTCATATGTTCTTTAATTCAGTATTTTCCTTCCACCAAGAGAATCTCTGGAAGCTCCTTTTTGGTGTATGTACCACCAAAGCAAGCATTGGAGCTCATTTTTAAACATTACAAAGACACAAAAATTCCTTCTTGAGTTAAAAATGGGAAAAGCAATAATCTGTGAGGGAGGGGTGATTTGATCCAGTGTGAGCACTGCATTTTGTGACCATGTACCAGAGTACCCACTCATGAGAGCATTTTTTGTTCCTCTGTGCCAGCTAAGGAATTTTTTAATGGAAAACAATTGTTTCATAAGTTTGAAAATTCCATAATAATGTGGTTGTTTGATAAATGATTCGAGAAATAAAACATGAATTTTAAGATTTCTTTGGACTGAATATGGATAATAAACAAGTTTCCATTTTAAAATTTACACAAGAGAGCAATTCACAGAGTGTATATTTCACTGTTACAAACCTAATCTTCTGATTTGCACCCATGGGAATGCTAATGAAGCTTATCATTCATTGTTTACACAGAGGGAAGATGGGGCAGAATGGGCAGGAGCCAGTGAAGCAGCCAGCAGGAGGAGGGGGACTGGCAGACGCCGAAGGTGAGTCCGCAGCTGCAGTCCTGCAGCAGGGTTGGATCCTCACCCTCCGTTAGCAGTTCAATGCTTTTAAATGTGGCACAAGCAGTATGTTCCTTAACGTATCATGCAAATAGAAAATCAATCTTAAGACTTTTCCTCACTCTGTGGGTTGTCTTTTCCACCTACTGATAATTTCATTTGCTGAGTAAAAGTTTTTTAATAAAATGAAATCTCAGTTGTTGATTCATTGTAATATTTCTAGTGCAATCAGAGTTTGGTTCATGAAGTCTTCGCCTATACATAAGTCATCAGAAGTTCTACCTATTCTCTCTTCCAGCAGATTTCATGTTTCTGTTTTAATATTTAGATCTTTGATTCATTTTGATTTCAGTTTAGTGCATGGTGAGAGACAAGAGGAGAAATCTTTGCCAGCTGTTCCTCTGACAAAAAACTGCTATCTAGAATACATAAAGAACTCAAAAAAGTCAGACCTCAAAAATCTAAAGACTCAGTCTGAAAATGGGTATGTGAGATGAACACACACTTCTCAGATGAAGAAGTAGAAACAGCAAATAAATACATGAAAAAATGTTCAATATCATTGGTCATCCCATGGATACAAATTAAGATACTGAGATCACTACAGGAAGAATGGCTATCATTAAGAAATCAACCAATAACACATGCTGGTGGGGCTGTGGAGAAAAAGGAACCCTTCTCCACTGTTGGTGAGAGTGCAGACTGGTGCAACCACTGTGGGAATCAGGGTGGAGAGTCCTCAATAAGCCATGGGTGTGTTCCACAGCAGGGTATACACACCCATGTGATAGCAGCAGTTTATAGTCGCTAAATCTTGGAAACAGTTCAAATACCCAACAACTGAATAAAGATGTGCTCTTTAAATACAGTAGAGTACCACTCAGCCATAAAGAAAGATAAAGCTGAGACATTCCTAGGTCAGTAGATGCACTGTGACATCGTACTCCTGAGTGAAATTTAACTCGTGTAAACATTACGTTGCTTCTCTGGTGTGAGAAACCAGAAGGGTAAATAAGAACCAAAATGTGTAGTAGATTTTATGAATTAGGAAGAAAATGTTCAATTGCAAAGAGAAAAATGGGTGGGGGTTGGGCAAAAGGAAGGAAGGGAAGCCTGAGAAAAGGGAAAATGGAAACAGAGGGAAGGGACGGAAGGGAGGGAAGGCGAGGGGAAGACCTAAGTGTGGAGATCTGTCATGTACCGGCACACACTGCCTATAATGAATGGAATCACTATGTATATCTAAAATGTGCTAATAAATTAGAAACTTCAAAAAAATCTTAGAACCTCACTTAAGCTGTGGAAATGCTTCAATATACAAAACTAAGAATAAATGAATGCTGTAAAAATCACATCACTTTGAAATTAAATAATTTAGTTTATCAAATAAATAATAAATTATTTCATATAATGCAATATCAGAGTTTAACTTCAGCAAACACAGGAGAGCATCTGCGGGCTACACCCTGACCAGCGTATTCACGCTCGGTGATCGTGCTGACAGCTCTTTCACCCTTCGTGGCCGGCAGCAGCCCCTCAGGAGTCCGACCTGCTGCAGCTGCCCTCCGCATGTCTAGTCCAGTGAGACTTAGAATTACCTAACAGGTGGGTAATAGCACCCAGTGCCTCACCAGAAATAGAGGCCAAAGGAGAACAGCACATGAGGTCTGGACCAGTGCGTTGAGCCCAGGAAGATGGTACCAAATCTCACATGTGAGGAGATGGTTGTGGCCAGGCTTCCCAAGGCCATCAGAGGGCAAACAGGAGCCTGGGACATCACCTCTGGCCTATTGCCAGGTACGCGAGCTGCCTCCTGTCTTCAGAAACCTTTTTGGTAAATGTGAGTTCAAAATGGCACCTTGTTCCCTGGACTGAAGGGGTCCACATTTTTCTGCTTCTCGGTTTTTCCTTTTCTTTGGGTTTTTCTTTTTGGATGCATTTCTACCGCCGCGGTCTCCAGAGCTCCACCACAAGTTCATGAACCCTTTAACCCAGCTGTCTCCGCGTAAACTCATCCATCAGTCTGGCTGTGGCTTGGTGCCCGGTCTAATGCCCAGATTCCCTGGGGTTCAGAGTCAGCATTCATTGTCTGGCATTCACATGCAGTTGGGCAGCTGTGCCTGAGCAGGAAGCAGCGTCCTCCTACTGTGTAAGTTAGAAGAATGGACAGCTGGGCTTGGAGTGCATACACGCAGAAGTGTCTGGGCCTCTGGGTAGGCATAGCGAGGCCACAGAAAGAAGCCACAGTCCCTGCACACAGAGGACAGTGAGAAGGCAGGAGCCCGGGAGGGACACTGCAGAGGCCAGAGGTCCCTGCAGAGCCATCAGGTCGGGGAGAGAAGGCCCTGTCCACCCTCCCTCTGTTCCGCAGTCTCTGCGGTGCTTGTTGGAAGCCTGTTTACTGGGGGAGCTGGGGCACAGGCCCGGAGCTCCTCCTAGAAGACAGCAAGAGAAGGACAAAGCCTCTGTGGGAGAGCGAAGCACCGGCCTCACCTGACAGCCCTGGTGCCCCAGACTCCGCGAGCCACTGAATCCACCCTGCTCCTGCCTTGGCACAAGCTTTTCTGCTGTGCTCCAGCGCTGGCTCTGTTGTGCTGCTAAGGTTCTCACTGTCTATCACCGATCTGACTTAGGGTACCTATTTTATGCTTGCCTCCTCCATGAGACTGAACAGCCTCGGGCCAGACGTATGCTTTGTCCTCCGCTTCCCCAGCCCTTAGCAGAAAGCCCGGCCAGTAGAGTTGCCGAAGGAACTGCTGGGTGGTAAAGGACTAATGGCTCTGTACGCAGAAGTAACAGCTACTGCCCTAGGTGACCCTGGGCACAGAGAAGAAGCCGTACGTAGTTTTAGCTACTTAATTTTGCCTTGTTTTAAGCTTAAATTTTTCAAATAAAATTGAAAGGCTAACAGCTGTCAGTGACTAGAACTGTGCAGCCTGGTGCTTTCCTCCTTCCTCTCCGTTCCACACAAAGCAGGCTTGTTTTCCAGGAAAGAGCCCTTCACAGGCTGCTTCAGTGTTGTGTAAGTCTCGTGAGTCAGTGTGCTCGTACCCGAGTGAGCAACAGCTGACCCGCATTCGCCCGTGAACAGTGACGGGCGGAGGAGGGAGCAGGATGGAACAGTACTGCAGCGTGAGCCATTTGCCGCGTTCACCTGTTAGTGGCAATATTGTGCACAAGTAGTTTTGACTTTACGCTACCACAGACATTTGACAATAATCAATAATCAATAATGATACCCATTTTACATATCTGCATGAAGCTGTTCTAAGAGGTTTATAAAAGATAACTGATAATAGAAAACTGCCATCAGTGTTAACCCTTTAGAAACAGCCTTCCTCTAGATGGAGATACAGCCGAGGGGGAGCGTTACATGCATCTGTTCCAAGCAGGCAGAATGCATCAGTTTAAATTGCATGATTTTTTTTGTCCCTGTAGAAATATAGAACCGACTTTGTGTCCTACTAAACTAAGATGTATATGTAACTAAGATGTGTACGTAACTAAGATGTGTACGTAAGATGTATAAGTAACACATCTTAGCCTCTGTGTGGTCCAGAGGCTTGCTTGCTTCACTGCTTTCTGTTGTCAGTCAGCACGAATAGACAGTTTAATGGGGAGGATAAACAGCAGCAGTGCGGCTTGCTATAGGCAAGATATAACCTTTGCTCACTCCTCTCGGTTCCCCACCAAAAAGGTGTCGTAAAAAATAATCATGTTTTTCTTAAAATAGATCCTCACGGTGACCTGCTTCGTCTCGAGTATTTTATGCTGCTTGCTTAGCTTGAGCCTTTGTTTTATGGACACAGGGGCTCATTGTCAGGGGATCTGATTTAGAAAGATTTTCCTAGGATGGGATACTTCAGAGCATCCCGTAGACACAGCACACACGTGCACCAAAATATGTCGGAGGTTTACACAGTTTGTTTTTGCAAATTTTTATTTCTGTTTTGACTTGCAGTATAGAAACTGCAAAAACCAGTGTTTTGTGCAGTCAGAGTTGCTGTTGAGTCTGTGACTGATGTTTTCTTTCAGTGCTGAGGAGCCACGTCCTCATTCCACTCACTAGGCAAGTCTGCTCGTTCTGAGGTCAACCTGGCACCTGGTTATTTTCTCTAATAATCTTTCAACTTCCTTAGAGTAGGGACTCAAATTTCAGTCTCAGCACAAGATTAATCTGGTAGGTGAGAGTTCTGAGTTGCAGTAAAAAGTAGTAGTTTGGGGCCTGTCTGTGCTAATTAAATAATTGAATTTTCATGACTAGTAATAATGTGAGCAATGTAAGGGCAAACAGGCACGGTGTTTGGCACATGGATAACACCTATAAACTGTAGCTATGATTAAATTAGGTGTGAAAGTGCGACTGCTTGGATTCTGTTCCAAAGTGATGCATCTCAAGGGTTGCTAAAATCTGTGCTTATTGCAAAGACTATGGAAAACTGCTTCTCTTAAGGACTGAGATCAAACTGATTACACTTTCCAGTTGGACAGAGGTTTTCCCCAACTTATATTAAAAACTCCTAATTACATCCTTGAAATGGTGTATGTGGCCCCTTTCTTCCTTTTTATTTATAGTTAGATGCACTAATAAATAGGGTCATTCTTTGCCATCTTTCTAGTAAATACCTTTGTGCACTACTCTACTGAACCAGCCTTTGGCAAGCATTAGAATACAACTTCCTTTAAGATTTAATTTTCTTCACTGTATACATTCCATAAAACAAACCACCCCAATAAATCATGTATTTCCTTAAGTATTTTCGCCAGCATGAGTTTACTTTCATTGAGAATGAAATTTCAGTTTACATCCCCAGTGGACTGTTGAGGTGTTTCCAGAATCCCCGTCCCTCAAATGGGTGAAGACTCAAAGGAATGAGACATGCAGCATGGTCTTTAGGGCTTCAGAGGACTGAAATCCTTGGCAGAGCTCCTAACTCTGCTCACCAGCAGGCCAACTGATTGACTCTGGGCAGCCCGTATTT